GAGAAGGCTTTTGGGTACCTGTTGCACTGCTTGAGGCACCCTGCTGGAGCAAGTAGTACGTTCAGCATTACTTCTTATTTGTTTGCCCCTAGATTGAATGAGTAGTTAACCCTTGCAGTGCAGATGGACCCCACTGCAAGGGTATATTTTGTCTCATTTCTGGAGTTAGACCTTAATTTTTGCATTTGTTATTTTGAACTGCTAGTACTGATCAAAAAGAGTAAAAAAATGCTTGTGGGTTTACCCAATAATTCTTTGTGGTTTGAGTAACCGGGGGCGTGACAGAAAACATATCCTTTGCCTAAATACTTTATACTAACTGGTGTCCCTCTTTGTCATCTGATAAAAATGGAAGGTATGGTTGATGAAGGAACACTTCAGACCCTGAACCTTGACCAAAGTTGGGCAGCCATTATTGATCCAAGCCAGTTACTTGGAAGATAGCAAAATCAAAGTTTGCAATCACGGATCAGAGCAGACTCTGCCACTCAGCCTTCCTATAGCATGAGAACATTTTAAAGGCTCCAGTTGAAAGAAAGTAAAACTAATTAGTGGTTACAGCTCACATTTCTGTGGTTTTTGATGGGGAAAAGAAAGGAGTCACAGAAAATTACTTTGGGCTTCAGCTAAAACAGTTTCTTCATTTCTTGGTAAACTAGTTGTTTCTAGTTGTTTTTAAAGCCAATTATGGCCCATTTCCTTTAAACGGTTTAGTCATGCAAATAAAATCTAATTTTTTTTTTTTTTTTGTGTCCAAAAAGGAGCAACTGAGCTTTTGCATGAATAGATCACAGCAGAGGTGCCCGTGGTGAAGAAAGAGAGTAGAGACTGTGGGGGCCGATCACAAAACTTCCTTTATGTCAGAAGGCTTGAAGTAAAACTGTTAATGAAAAAAGAATGGATGTTACTATTGCTGACTGCAAAAGCTAATTTCCTGGATGTCATGACAAATCGGACTTTAACGTCCCTGATCTTTCACTTTTTTTCCCAAGTCAGTGACTGAGAAAGTACCAATTTCACCTTGACAGCCAAGAAAATCGCATTTTCAGAAAGAGAGGTCAGCAGTGGAAGCCTCCATGTTTCTATTACGGCAGATTTCCAGGCAGATGTCCAAATACACAGTTGGTAATCCTGCCAAATGCTTTGCTAGTTTGTACAGTCACTTTAAAGATTCACCTCTACCAGGCAGTAGTGCCAGCATGGTGACACCATTTTTTATTTCAGATTTAAAGTGGGTGTAAGTCTTTGCATATACCCAAGTGAAGTGACTGGCCTCAGGTGATACACAGAGATGAAACAAATGCCCCTACATAAGTTGTACTTATTTATCTCCAGCCCTCTCTTCTCTACATCTATTCAATGTCCAGAAATTATGCAGTGTTTTTGAGCTACAGAAAGCAGAAAGTGGGGAACTGTTAGACTCTGCAGAGCTCAGTGAGAGATGATTGGAGTGAAGGGACCCCCCCCCCCTTTACAAAGCACACAGGAACAGAGCTGAGGCTGTCAATCACAGGCTGTGGGTTGGAGCTTCCTCCCCTGTCACCTTTTTACCTCTTGATGTCAGGAAATCGTGTCAGAAGTGACTCATGCAGACAGTGGAGGCACAAGGTAGCAGACAAAAATTACACTTAGTGCTCTGGATTGAGAAAAGTACACACTATAGTGGGATATGCTTTGTTCATGTTTCATGTCTGAGGTTTACAATCACTTTAAGGAATGCAGTGATTTCCCTTCCCTGCCCACAGGTTGCCAAGTGGACAAAAAGGCCCCATGCACGCCCTGATGCATGGTACTCTGGCATTTGGCTGCGGAAAGAGGTGTCCCATCCAGTCAAACTCTATGAGATGCTGACAGCTGCTGGGGCTGGACAGGGCACTTAGCACTACTTACATTCAGAGCAGTATGAGCCCAAAGATGAATGCCCAGAAATCAAGAAGTCTGCATTCTGGGCATTTTTTCTCTGGGTGCATACTGTCCTAAATGTTTGTAACGCTAGGTGCACCACCCAGCTGCAGCAACTGTCAGAATCTTATAGCGTTTGACAGGCTGCTGGCAGCGGACCTGAACGGTGCACCTGCACATTCCCACTGCAGCTAAACAACAGAGTCCCACGCACCAGGGCTAAATGCCCAATGTGCATGGCAACTGCCATTTTTTTACAACAAGGAACTAAAATTTTTCAGGAGGTCAAAGACGTTAGTACCATTAAAATATTTATTTTAAAATTATTCACATGATGGTGACCTAATAACAAAATCATTTTAAATATAGACATTAGAAAGGACCAGAGTTACCGGTCTGTGCATGAATCCGTATCCCGTGTGAGGACTGTGTTACTGTGTGAGGATGCACAGGTGTTCTGTGTATCGCTCTTCAGGCAGTCCCATAGCTGTCAATTGGGATGCAGCAGCTGCACAGACACAGCTTCTGCTCCCAATGTGTGGTCGGTGCAGATGCACAGCTGTAGGCCTGTGATTATAGGCAGCAGAGACACAAAGGCAGCTTTTTATTTTACTGTTATCAGCAACCCATTATTGTCCACTTCATTTGTCGAAAAAATCAGCTCATACAAACTTAACCTCCCTAGCGGTCTGATTATGTCCATATTTCTGTGCTCAAAGCGGTACATTTTTTTGCATGGAAATATGTATTTTTTTATTGCAGGCCTGTAATTTTTAGGAATAACTCACTGAAATCTGTCCGAACAAGAGTCTAGTAAACATCTCGGGTATGATAAAACTTGAAACACGAAATCATAAATTATAATGTAATAAATAATCATAAAAAATAATAATATAATAATAATAAATTTAATTCAATAATATAATCAAACCAAAAACACTGAAATTTGAAATATAGCACCAAGTTCGCACATCACTGAGCAAAGTCGCAAAATCGTTTTCAGTGTCTGATGACGAATTTCCCCACGAATCATTATCACTCAATTCTGCAAGTGGTTCTGATTTACTATCGCTGTTCTCTAGTTGGTCTAAACCGCTTTTGACCTAAAGGGACGCTTTTTGGACGCCATGGACGTTTCTCAGTTTCCAGGCAGAAAGAACAGTAAAAATGCAGGCAGGGCACAGGACAAAGCACTCGGGACAACATGTATGTGAAATGGTTTGATACAGTAATGTTTTACTATGTGATTTTAGTGAATGTCACTTTTTGTCATTTTCGAATTTCCCGCCGTTCCGTCCCCCATACGTCCCAACGCTCGCAGGGGACGGAACCCAGAAGACAGATGCCGGCATCCGCCAGATTACATTGCCGGGGACACTGCAGGAGGGACATCGCGGGAGCGCGGGACAAGATAAGTGATCGAGGGATCGCTGAGCAGCGCCGCATGGTAAGCCTGAGTGTAGCTCGGGGTTACCGCTTGTGGTTCTGAAACTTTACCCCGAGCTACACTCGGGAATACCGCCAGGGAGGCTACGCCAGCCATAGATGGTTCGAATCATGGCCGGTTCAGCGGGGACCAGAAGAGCTTCAAACAATGTATGGACAGGCTAAATTTTCCCAAGTTAATCGATCAATCAGCTATGATACAACCAGCCTGTCGGATTGTACATGCGACTATTGCTAGCATCTATAATAGCCGCTAGCATTAATCACTTTGTTCTCCCAGCAGGGATGGCTCCCCCTGCTGGGAGAACACAATGGCTCTTTAGGAGGGATTCCCCCATCAACACTGTGTTGATGGGTGAAATTAAATATTTTATTTCCAGCAACCATCACTCCATCTATGGTTGGCTTTACTTATGCATTGTCCCAGTATTCTAAGGGCCACTAAAACAAAGAAAGATTTTGTGTAATAGGGATGATCCTAGAAGATCTTGTCATTATATGACATTGCAGTCTATTCACAAAATGCACTGACCAGAAATATGCTGTCAACTAATTGAAATTATTTTTTTACTCCCCAGTTCAGGTATTGTGTAGATCTCAAAAAATGAAAAAAGAAACTAGCTTGAGGTTTTGCCGTTTTATGATATTTTTTTTTTTGAGTGGATGACGAGGTCATGAAAATCTCTTTCCTTTACTATGGTAGTTTTGCTATGAAAGTGACCACCATTCCCTAAGGTGAATTCTTGCCAAATCAGCACTTTAAAGCAGGACTAGTTAACGTATGTTGGATGATAAAAGACAGCAAATATAACACAGACTTCACAAGTAATGAGACGGCTCCCCTCGTGAGATGCCAGTAAACTTAAAATAAAAGTTAACCTTACAAATGATATTCACAAATATTTATGTAGAAGTTTCTATATCTTATGCTGGCAGACAGTTTTAAACCCAAAAGCAAACATCTATTATTTTGCAGTTTCCCAATTCTTACAAGTGGTGGCTGCATTTGTTTTATTTTTAAGGCTTTCTTTCTTCAATTTTCATCCGGTGATCTGGCCAGTAAGTCTGTTGCTTTTCAAAAGATAGATCTCCTGCAGATGTGTCAGTTACAGGGGTGAGATAAACCATTCAACACTAGCAGGGATGTTATAATGATCAGTTTTATTTATGTAAAACCTTTATTCTAAAAGGGAAAACACTGTTTGCTGTAACTACTTATAAAGTGTTAGCTGAAGTTCAGCTTCGATTTATTGGTGTATCTAAATCTGCTAGTACTGATAATGCTGCTGTCCAAAGGTTCCCCTGTGCTCCTTCATCCTGAGTGGGGACATTCTAATACAGGAGGTGCGTTACATGCCAGATCATCAAGTTAAAACAGAGGGAAAAAATCCTAAACAAAGAAAACTAAAGCAGCCACTACATCTAATAACTGGTACAGCCAGTAGGAAGTGTACAAGTCACACAGGCTATGATGTAGACACCTGAAGAAAGACTTTGCCTCCTGTGCACAGAAGAAGATAGAAAGCTTGGGACTGGATTATCACATGACCACAGATTATGGGACATTTAGATGGATTTTTTTTAAGTTCTCTGTGCAAGTGATTAGTTTAAGGGGGGCAGCATGCAAGGCAGATTTAAAATGTTACTAAACTCAGGACCCTGCATTAACTCTATCTGGTCTCTCACAGTACACAGAACATGGAAATGCAATTATTTTTAGTAAATATAAACTGCTAAATACCTTTTCTCATCAGCAGTTAGAGCAGTCTTGTGACTTCTATCAGTGTCCAGCAGAGCACTGGTTAAAGTTTATTGCAGGATTCAGGTGTTCTAATCACCTCCATGGCCTCAGGTGTATAAAATCAAGTACTTAGGCATGCAGACTGCTTCTACAAACATTTGTGAAAGAATGGGTCGCTCTCAGGACCTCCATAAATTCAAGCGTGGTAGCATGATAGGCAGCCACCTGTGCAATAAATCCATCCGTGAAATTTCCTTTCTACTAAATATTCCACAGTCAACTGTTAGTGGTATTATAACAAAGTGGAAGCAACTGGGAACAGCAGCAACTCAGCCACGAAGTAGTAGGCCATGTAAAATGACAGAGCGGGGTCAGTGCATGCTGAAGCGCACAGTGCGCAGAAGTCATCAACTGTCTGCAGAGTCAATAGCTCAAGACCCCAAACTTCGTGCGGGCTTCAGATTAGCACAACAACAGTGTGTAGAGAGCTTCATGGAATGGGTTTCCATGGCCGAGCAGCTGCATCCAAGCCTTACATCACCAAGTGCAATGCAAAGAGTAGGATGCAGTAGTGTCAAGCACGCTGCCACTGGACTCTAGAGCAATGGAGACTTGTTCTCTAGAGTGATGAATCACACTTCTCTGTCTAGACGTGTCTGGGTTTGGCAGTTGCCAGGAGAATGGTACTTACCTGACTGCATTGTGCCAAGTGTAAAATTTGGTGGAGGGGGATTATGGTGTGGGGTTGTTTTTCAAGGGTTGGACTTGGCCCCCTAGTTCCAGTGAAGGTAACTCTTAAGGCATCAGCATGCCAAGACATTTTGGACAATTTCATGCTCCCAACTTTGTGGGAAGAGTTTGGGGATGGCCTCTTCCTGTTTCAACATGACTGCACACCAGTGCACAAAGCAAGGTCCATTAAGACATGGATGAGCGAGTTTGGGGTGGAGGAACTTGACTGGCCTGCACAGAGTCCTGACCTCAACCCGATAGAACACCTTTGGGATGAATTAGAGTGGAGACTGAGCCAGGCCTTCTGGTCTGACATCAGTGGCTGACCTCACAAATGCGCTTCTGGAAGAATGGTCAAACATTCCCATAGACACCCTCCTAAACCTTGTGGACAGCCTTCCCAGAAGAGTTGAAGCTGTTATAGCTGCAAAGGGTGGGCCAACTCAGTATTGAACCCTATGGACTAATGCAGGCCATAGATGGGGAGAAAAACTGCAGATTTTTCTTTTAAAAAACGAAAAATCGGTTGTTCAAGTGGCCGACGTTACCATCAATGGTAAAAAAAAATCGGCCGATTTTCTACCCGTCTAGAGCCGGCAAAAAGTGTCCCTGCAGAGAGCTCTGCTATTTCTTTGACAGTTCTCTGACAGTTCCTTGACATTTATAGAAGTTGCAACAATGTATCTATTTGTTTCCATTTAGGATACAGATGTTTTTATTCGGAAACAAATAGATACAATGTTTCAACCGCTGTAAATGTCAAGGAACTGTCAGAGAACTGTCAGAAATAGCGGAGCTCTCTGCAGAGACACTTTTTGCTGGACTGGAATTCTTCTTATTTTCATCCTACTTCTTCTTCTTCTTCTTCATCCTCATCCTCTTCTTCTTCTTCATCCTCATCCTCTTCTTCTTCTTCTTCTTCATCCTCATCCTCTTCTTCTTCTTCTTCATCCTCATCCTCTTCTTCATCCTCATCCTCTTCTTCATCCTCATCCTCTTCTTCATCCTCATCCTCTTCTTCTTTCATCATCATCATCCTCTTCTTCTTCTTCTTCATCCTCATCCTCTTCTTCATCTTCTTCTTCTTCATCCTCATCCTCTTCTTCATCCTCATCCTCTTCTTCTTCCTCATCCTCTTCTTCTTCATCATCCTCATCCTCTTCTTCATCATAATCCTCATCCTCTTCTTCATCCTCATCCTCTTCTTCTTCTTCATCCTCTTCTTCTTCTTCATCCTCATCCTCTTCTTCTTCATCCTCATCCTCTTCCTCTTCTTCTTCTTCATCCTCTTCTTCATCGTCTTCCTCTTCTTCTTTTTCTTCTTTTTGTCTTCCTCTTGCAGGTCACTGCTCATGCGCAGATTTTTTATCGGTAAAAAATCGGCCGATATGCCCACTAATTGCCGCGAAAATCGGCCGATTTTTTTCCAACTTTACCGGAAAAAAAAAACGGCCGAAAAAAAACGGCCGACCAAATCGCCCACTAACGATCCAAAAATCGGCCGATTTTATTTTCGGCCGAAAAATCGGCCGATTTTCGACCCATCTATGGCCTGCATTAGACTGGGATGCCATTAAGGTTCATGTGTGTGGAAAGGCAGGCCGACCAATACTTTTGGAAAAGAAAAGAGTGTATATATTTATATATATATATGTGTGTGTGTGTGTGTTTCTGTAACCACTTGCCCTCCAGAGGATTTATCCCCCTTCCTGACCAGGCCATTTTTTGCGTTACAGCGCTGACATTTGCATCGTCATGCAACACTGCACCTAAATAAAATTCACTGCCCTTTTTCCCACAAATAGAGCTTTATTTTGGTGGTATTTGATCACCTGTGCGTTTTTATTTTTTGCGCTATAAATAAAAAAAGACTGACAAATTTGAGAAAAAAAACACAATATTTTTGACTTTTTGCTATTAACCATATCCAGTAAAAAAAAAGTAAAAATCAACTCTCCTCATAAATTTAGGGCAAAATATATTCTGCTACATGTCTTTGCTAAAAACAAAATCCCAATACATATAAATTAATTAGTTTACGTGAAAGTTATAGCATTTACAAATGGCGGTATATATTCTGGAATTTTTTTTTTTTTACTAGCAGTGGCGTCGATCATTGACTTTTAGCAGGACTGCGGGACTGTGGTGAGCATTCTGACACTCGGGGGAACTGGCTTGGTGTCACTAAGATCACCAGTGACACCAATAGAGTGATCAGTGCTAATAAAAACCACTGGCACTGTACTAATGGCATTGGGCATGAAGGGGTTAACATATGGGGCGATCAATGGGTTAACTGTGTGCTGTTTCACTATAGGGGCTGTGTGTGCTTCACTGTAAGTGCAGGAGCTGACAGGGCAGAGATCTGTATTGTTTACATACAGGTCTCTCCCCCGGCAGAGATATTTGTCAATCACCAGGTGCCAGTGAGTAATCATCGGCTAGGACCTGGTGATTGACAGCAGAGACTGCGAATGGCGGCACAGGTAGGGTATATATACGTGATTTTGCGCACCCATGCCGCCCTGTAGCAGTATTTCTGCTGTAGGGTGGCGCGGAAATGGTTAATTATCAAACAGACATAACAAAACTCTTTCAATGGTATGTTTAACAGAACAAAAGGGATAAGAAAAGTTTATTGCTAGAGTTTACATACACTTTATTTATTCATGAACAAAATGTATACCTTGGAAAAGTTTACAAACAAAAGTTACAAACAAAAGATTTTACTGTACAAAAAAAGTGCTGGGAAATCTGTGTTTGTGATGTGCATTTCCCTTCCATGTGCACCATACTACAAAAGCTAGTTACTGTATAGGTTGGGGTGATTGCCAGTATTTGTATAGTTGGTTGAATTTGGCACGGGGACTCACTGGATGCCTTCAGCTGCCATTGTGCTTTTGCTGGGCGTCACGTGCATCCTTGTGCCTTTAACCACTTGCCATCCGCCTGCTGTTTATAAACGGTAGGACAGTGGCACTCCAGGGGCGGGTTGCCGTTCATAAACAGCACCCGCCATTTCTAGTTGTGCGCGCTGCCTGGGAGTGCGCAGCACTGCGATCCGGTTCCCGCTGTGTCCTCCGGACACAGTGAAACACCGATCGTCGGACAGGATCCCGATCATGTGATCACTGATTGGCCAATCAGTGATCACATGCAAAGTAGTAAGCAAGATGTCACTTGTGACATCATTGCTTACTACGTGTGAAATCTGTGAATGATCACAGAGGTCATATGGTACAAGGCTATTCACAACAGCCTTGTACCATGTGACAAGCTGTGACTAATCACAGCTCACTCAGTATTTCTCAATGGCTGCAAGAATGCAGACAGAGAGAAAGAGAAATGATTGCTTTTACATTCTATATGGGTGTAAAAGCAATCATTGTAAAAAAAAAAAAAAAAAAAAAAAAAAAAATCTTCATCACCACCCACAAGTAGTACAGTACCATGATGACACTGTACTGCTAGGGGGACAGTATGTAAAAAAAAAAACCATAAATAATATAAAAAAATAAAATGAAAATATAAAAAAATGCTTAAAAATGATAATTTTTAGTTATAAACTAATTTGGCTTATTTTTTTTTTTTTTTTTTTTAAAAAGATAACGGAATACATTTCGGCCAAGATTTATGATGAAAGATTATTTATTTGCAAAATTTTATAAGAAAAACACTTTTTTAAAAAATTTTTGGACTTTTTCATTTACATAGCAAAAAAAATAAAAATCCCAGATGTGAATAAATACCACCAAAATAAAGCTTTATCTGTCTCAAAAAATGGTAAAAAATTCATATGGATACAGTGTTGCATGACCGCGCAATTGTCATTCAAAGTGTGATAGCGCTGAAAGCTGACAATTGGCATGGACAGGAAGGGGGTAAAAGTGTCCAGACATGAAGTGGTTAAGGAGCAGTGGGTTCCCTCCAGGCATACCTGCCTTTTATCTATCCACTGCTATATGTGCTCCTACTTGGGAATTTTTAGAGTTAGAACCGCAGTAAACAGAGGAGCCTTGACGCGGCTTTTATTTGCAAATGTGTGCAACAAAGCCTGTTTGTAACTTGAATTGTTAGACAGGGTCAGTTTGGTTGTTTTGCAGGCTGGCTGGTAAGTGTGCTAGGAAATCTTTTGTTTGTTTGTGATGCTCATTGCCCTTCTTTGAGTACCTTACTGCAAAAGCTAGTTACAGGTTGGGGTGGTGGTGACATTTTTTTTATAGTTATATTTCAGGTTGTATTGTTTAATGTCTAAAAAGTTCCCCAAAAAATTTTACAAATCCAAAAATGTAATAAAAATACTCTATTTTTCCCTTTGATGTAGTCTTTGTTTATCAGCTACATTGAACAAAGCCTTGGATAATATCCCAACCACAGTCAGGAATTTATCTTCATTATGTTTTTATAAACACATACATATTTAACCACTTGCCTACAGGGCACTTATACCCCCTTCCTGCCCAGGCCAATTTCCAGCTCTCAGCGCTGTCATACTTTGAATGACAATTGCGCGGTCATGCAACACTGTACCCATATGAATATTTTAGCATTTTTTTGAGACAGATAAAGCTTTATTTTGGTGCTATTTATTCACCACTGGGATTTTTATTTTTTTTTTGCTATATAAATGAAAAAGTCCAAAAATTTTGAAAAAAAGTGTTTTTCTTATAAAATTTTGGCAAATAAATAATATTTTATCATAAATCTTGGCCAAAATTTATTCAATTGTCTTTTTAGTAAAAAAAAAATAACCAAAACTAGTTTATAACCAAAATTTATAATTTTTAAAAACTTTTTTTACATTTTTATTTTTTTTTATATTATTTTTTTTGGTTTTTTTTTACATACTGTCACCCTAGCAGATAGACAGAGCTTTCTTTTGGTGGTATTTAATCACCTCTGGGATTTTAATTTTTTCTTAAACAAACCAAAAACCACTGAAAATTTTGAAAAAAAAAATTTTTCTTAGTTTTTGTTATACAATTTTGTAAATAAGTGATTTTTCTCCTTCACTGATGTGCGCTAATGAGGCTGCAGTGATGGGCACTGATAGGCTGCACTGATGGGCACTGATGAGGAGGCACTGGTAGGTGGCACTGATCGGCATTGACAGGCATCACTGATGGACACTGAAAGGCAGCACTGATACATGACACTGATATATTGCACTGATAGGCGGCACTGATATGCAGCACTGAATGGCACTGATTGGCGGCACTTACTGGCACTGTTAGACAGCACTGACTGGCACTGTTAGGCGGCACTGACTGGCACTGATAGGTGGCACTGACTGGCACTGATGCGCACTGATAGGTGGCACTGATTGGCATTGATAGGTGGCACTGACTGGCACTGATGGGTGACATTGAAAGGCAGCTCAGATGGGCACTGATATGTGGCATTGATGTGCACTGGTATGCACTGATATGTGGCATTGATGTGGCACTGATGGGCACTGGCACGTGGTACTGATGGGCACTGGCACGTGGCACTGATGAGCACTGACAGGTGGCACTTCTGAGGCCACACTGATCATCAGGGCACACTGATCATCAGTGCCCTGATGATCAGTGTACATGTCTCCTCCATGGAAAGCTGATTACCGGCTCTCCTCTCCTCTCGAGCTGTCAGCGTGACAGCTCGAGAGGAGAGAAATGCAGATAACCGGCATTTCCGTGTTTACATGTGATCAGCTGTGATCGGACACAGCTGATCACATTACCGAGCCGACATCTTCGGCTCTTTCCGTGATCACCGCACTGCGCGCTCCCTGAGCCACTCATGCGCAGTGAGAATAGTAGGACGTCATATGACGTCCTATCAGAACGAGAGAACCACCTTGCGGAAGGTGGTTAATTAATATTTGTTCTTTTACATAGATAAAGTTGTAATTTAGATTTACCGGCCCTTTAGTATTATAAATCAAGAAATGCCTCTCAGGATTTGCCATGGGCACTTTAGAGATTTTTCTGTTGACTGAGAGAATCTTCCATCAGGGTGGTAAGTTCTTTCTAAACGTTAGCTTGTACATGTGTTCATTTTACAGCTGCGAGGAGACCCGGCCTTCACCCCTAGCACATGAATTCATCATTCTTCTTAGTCACACTATTTACGCAGCAGTTATATTAGGTAAACAATAGGCTGTTGAAGGAAATTGTGGATTCATGCAAAGCATGCATGCTGCTGCCGGTATTTTCTTGTATACAGAACCCATTATATGTACCTCTTGTCAGATACTTGGAGGAATTGGTAACATTATATGGGAATCCACTCGCGATTAGAAATAGCAACTAAACTTATTGCAATATCCAGCCATTTGCACTTGAAATGTCTTTTTGTTGAGAGTTGAAAGTAGCTTTGGTGAAGGAACCAAACCACTTTTCAGACAGGCTTGCTATGTAGATGAAAGGGTGCTCCATCATGTACGATTGCTAAAAAGACTTGTATATAAGCTAAAATAAATCAATATCAATTTATCAGCAATGAATTGACAAATTAATAAATTATTAGCTTATATCACTGCGCCATTGTGGCAAATACTTTTTGAAGAAAATTATATTTGGACTATACTTTATTATGAACTTATTTTTTTATATTATGGATTGATTTTTTTCACTTTTTTGCACTCTTTTGGCAGCGGTCTTTATTTATTTAAATTTTTGTTTCTGAGTATTTATATTCATTTATTTATACTTGTTTATACATTATTTAAGGGGTTATTTGAGAACGCTGTTTATGGTATTTCCATTTATTTATGTGAGATTGCTAGTTGTTTGAAGCCAGGGGCGGACTGACAACTCATGGGGCCCCGGGCAATAGGGGATCATGGGGCCCCTGTGTCCTTGCCCAAACTCAAAATAGCCTATGAAAAAGGTACCAGGGGCATCTCATGGGGCCCCCTACTGACCTCGGGCAGTGCCCGGGTTTCCAAATGGTCAGTCTGCCGCTGTTTAAAGCACAAAACTAGTCCTGAAACTCCTGACCATAACAAAAAAATACATATTCCATGCAAGAATTTTAGGCTACACTCACCCCTATATTTTTTTTTCAAGTGTTGTTTTTTTCTAGTGTTTTGAGCATTTTTTTGGAGCAGAATTGCACATTTTTGTAGCTTTTGTCCGGCGTTTTTTTTAACTAAAAGTTGAGGAGTGCTGCTGAAAAAAGGTGTGGAGAGCTGCTCTTTGAGCAGAAAACTCATGACAAAAAGCTTTTAAAAAAATAGCTCCAAAAAAAGATGATTGTGTGAATTTTAGATGTTTTCATTCAAGTCTATGGGGTCATAAACATTCAATTCTGCTTGAAAAGTAGCTCAAGTTTTTGTTTTTTTTTGAGTGACAGGCATTTTGCTACAAGCGACAGGATGCTCAGATATGAACAAGGACTATTGAAAGCAGTAGATTTTTGCTTGATGAGCGTTTTTGAGCTTCGAGCTACAAGCTACAAAATGCTTAAGTGTGAACGGGGGCCTTAATGTTCCCCAATGTCTCTAATTTGAAGAGACTGTCCTTCCTTTGGATGTAAATCACTTTGTCCCACTTTCTTCTGAAAATGCAAATATACCTTTCTTTTTCTTTAGATTACTGAAACTAGTCTAATGTTTCATTTTCCTATATGCTTGATGAAATTCAGTTGCTATGGACATTACCATTAAAAGGAATCGCCAACATTTTCTGAATGATCTGTGTTTTTTGCAATTTAAATTTTGAGCTTCCTGACACTTTTTGTAAATGCATGAAAACGCTTTTCACACAAAACGTATTAAAGGTCTGTATGTTTTTTTTTCTTTTTACCAATCCTGGTTACAATCCATTTCAGATTTGCAGAAAAATATGGAAAAGATTCAGTTCCCTATGAGAATTTGAGATTGTTGAAATAATTCGGGGAACAATCTGTATTACCACCCAATGTACCAATTTTTTACCAATTCAGCCGAAAATGGGCAAGAGAATAAAACAGTGGGCTCAATTACATTTAACAGATTAAAAAAAAAACTTGTGTTGCGCTAAGTGAAATATACTGTAAATACCTAAAAAAAATTCATAAATAATATGCAAATGATGTATGTCCAACAAAGGATAAACAAGAAAGTGCTCAAAAATAAACCATTGCCACAAAATAAATGAATTAAATAAACATAAATAAAACAGTCCTTATAAAGTATATAGAACAGTCTTCTTTTTCTGTGATGAATGATGGCAATGGTTCACTTTTGAGCACTTTCTTGTTTATCCTTTATTGGGCAGACATCATTTGCATATTATTTATGAATTTTTAAGGTATTTAAAGGTATTTTTTAAGGTATTTAAACACAAGTTTTTTATTTGATTTGGGATTTAGAGGGGATATCCTCTTGGTGTGTTTGCTGCTTCGTACACGATTAGGGTGGGGTATTTGCGCAGTTGTATTATTTAATATCAAAGATTTAATAGATTGAATGATAAATCAAAAGATTAGTTATTATAAATAAATATTTTATATATATATATATATATATAGAGAGAGAGAGAGAGAGAGAGAATATATATATATATAGTATATTTTGCACTAGTGTGTTTATATTTGTAGCACTAAAGCTAAAGATAACATAAAATTGGATGTATGGATCCTTTTAAGGGAAAACAGCCAAAATCCTAATAGAAAAATAACATGGACTGAGAAAGCAAAGCTGACAGCATTTCTTTGTTCTACTCTGGAAAAAAAAACAAAAAACATAAAGACACCCTAAAGTTACCCACGATAGACTTTACAGTTTTGGAAAGGCGCCTATGACATCACCAGTCATGCTTCTTCACAAGACTTACTATACTGCCTAGCCTCAAGTTACATTGTAAGGTCACATGTTTTACATGACCGTGCACTGAACAACACTCACTGTTCTAAGGATTGGCGAATTTATACAAAGTGCTCGGCTGCTGTTCTATTTTACAGCTAAAGAAAGATTCATTCCCTAAAATAGATAATCAGGCTTGTCCAGAGTGTGTTTTATGTTGTAAAAAAGAGGGTTTTAAAGTATCTTTACTAATAACAATGAGATAAATCTCTCCTAATTCAAAGCGGCATTTTATGGGGGGAAATAAGCCATTTTCCCTTCTTCATACTTACATCAGCTCCTACTAGTATTTACTATTGTTCAGGAGGTTTGGAAAAGACAGTCTTGCATATAAGACAATATAAGCTATCACCGAAAACTCTGACCTTCCACTTGAGCTCCGAAAAGGTTTTATCCCCTTCATAACAAGGTCATTTTTCGCAATTCAGCACTGTGCTACTTTAATCGGCAATTGCACCATGCAACAATGAAAATTAAATTTATGTGTATATATATATATATATTTATTTATTTTTATTTTTTTACACAAAAAGAGCTTTATTTTTGTGGTCTTTAGTCACCACTGGATTTATTTTTTTTATTATATAAAACCGAAAGATTTGAAAAAATGTCTACATTCTTTTATAAAAAAATATCCAATGAAAAAATACAACTTCTTCATAAAGTTAGGCCAAAATGTATACTGCTACCTGTCTTTGGTAAAAAAAAATAAAAATCCCAACAGGTGTATATTAATTGGTCCACAAACCTATGGTATATATATTTGAAAATTGATCAATTCTGATGTACCAATGGCCTATCTCATTTCGTGAGGCCTTAATATGCCAGGACAGTACAAATACCCCCCAAATTACATTACATTACATTGAGTTTATATAGCGCCAAAGGGTTTGCTCAGCGCTGTACAATAGAGGGGGGGACAATACATGAAACATTACAGCAGCTACGAACAGCACACGAGGGGTAAGAGGGCCCTACTCTTTCGAGCTTACAATCTGGGAGGGAGGGGGTAAATTACTCCTTTTTGGAAAATAGACAGTCTGAGGTATTTAGTAAGAGGCATGACAAGTTTTCTAAAGTTGTAAATTCTTCTCGCAATGTTTTGGAAAATGAAGAAATACATTTTTTTTCATCTTTTTTTTTACATACTGCCACCAGTGTAGTACAGCATCATCATATGACTGGTGTGGCAGTGATCAGGGACACTAACCGATGACAGTATGTTAAAATACATTAATAAATAAATTGCTTTTCCTAAACCTATTCAAAACCTTTTTAGAAAAAAATATATGGCTATTTGTGTGTGCGAAGCTCAATTTCTCTACTTCTTTGATCTCAGCCCTGTAATGAGAGTGGTGCCTTTTGTGGTATGGAAAACATCTGGGTGAGCTGCATTGATCCCTCACTCTTCTATGAATCAAGTACTGTCATCATGGTGCAAGTAGCTTAGAGTGCCCTGGTGATCCTGTAACTGCTGGCTGGGAAAGATGTTCTTTTAGTTTTAAAATGGAAAGATGAAATTTCGACACAGATTGTGTTGAACCTTCTGTGTCACTAGAAAAGTTCTTTATTCTTTCTCTTCTTCTACCCCACTTCCACCTCCTACCCCCACCTCCACCAGATCATCCCAAGCAGCTATGCCCCACCCCTATCACACCCTTCTAGTCAGCTAGGGGGAGCTTTTGTACATATTTTTTCCCCTTTCCCAGTTGTGTACCCTTTTCCCCTCCCTTTTTCTGTATGAGATGCCTTACTCCTGGGCTCAGGAGCTATTTTTGTTTTTTTGTCCCCCAGCCAATGAGAACATGGCTGTTTTCAGTAGAGGTGAATGTAGCACCCTCCTAGTCAGCTAGGGGGATCTAGACTCTTAATTGTTAGCTAGGGTTGAGTAGCAGCCTGGGTGTGATAGCTAGCAGGGTCAAATTGTAGTCAGAACTGAGAAGCTCTGCAGACCAGCTCTC